GCGTTTTTAACCCTAGTCGCATTAGACCAAAGGTGGAGAGGAATTTAAAGTGACGTTGGTAGGTTTACAACAGAAAGTGTACTTTGGAAAGGGTTTTTCTTGTAGAGCTAATTTGCTACACCAAATCTCATAGATTACTTCCAGAACTTTAGAATCGATTAGAAATTATGCTAAATCACCGAACGGATTTTTCTGGGAAAATTGTTCCCTACGTAAAACTGGTCGACAACAAGTAATCTTGAAGCCCCGGTTTTTAAAATTTAGATAAATTATGTTATGGCACTTCAAAAAGTTGATATCGATTAAAGTGATAATTGCTATGAATTGATAGTTATAATAATCTTGAGGTGCCAAATAAACGTTTATGTGCCAGTGCTTTCATCTTGAACAGTGTTGAAGGGCTCTCAAATATGTTCCCTCAAGAACTCTAAGTGGTCGCATCATCACTGATAAATGTGTAAATTGTGTAGTAGAAAAGTAAGTGTAGAATTCATTTCTTTGCAGCATTCCATTTCCTGCTCAACACATGTAACAATAGCACTCTGTGAAGGCTTTTCTGAAAAACTTTGACATCGTCTCCATCTAACAATGCCGACATAGTTGTTATTCTCAGATGGAAAAAAGTGTCTGAGAACGCACTAGAAAATCTTAACAGATGTAAACTTAGGGAGCAGAGATTGACCAAGATTGATGCTGGTCCTTACGTGCTAAACTAGCCGTTCGCCTGGCTTTGATCATTTCATCGCATTCATTCACATCACGCAAAAGGATTGGCAGAGAACGTGACATTTGAAAATCACGATCTTCACGAAAGTGGAATGCGACTGAGATGTTGCCATACAACATTTGGTGATATTAATCCTTCAAATCAGCTTGATACACTTTATCCCAACGCAATGATTCGCGTACTAAATTATGGCCCGATTTGTATAATCATGATTATGTGCGACATGGAAAGAAAATAACGTTAAGATGGTTTTTGTAGCAGAAGTGTGCATTCCAGTTCTCTTGCAACAACGAGATTTTTTCGATGTACTGTCTAAATATCTCAGTAGCTTAATCACCTATATAAGAATGCTGACAACTGAAGTCTACTATATGATAATCATAGACAGAAATGGCAAACTC